AAAAGAGTGTGACATGAAATGCGCCAAGGCCAGGCGAAGGGCAGCACTGTCCCCATTATGAGCACTAAAGGACTTGTTCGTGTATGAGGGAGGACCACCCTGGCGGCCCGGAGGGTTCCCGCCAGGCCAGACCACTGTGCCCGCATGGCACCAGGTCCCGGGACAGGTCCAGGGGTCTCCCCGCTGCCGGCCAAACTGCCAGGGCTCCAGGCTGCACACGAGCAGGTCTGGCCAGTGGGTGAGAAAATTTGTGCACAGACCCAGCATTAAACGAAAATAGTCGAACACAATTTGAAAGTTGCAAATAAGATGGGCAATGTCTTCTCGGTTCACTTTTCAAGAAGAAGATGAGAACACAAACTTTCAGGTTCAAAATTAGATGCTCAACCCGTCTACAGCGAAGTTATTTCCTTAACAAGGTGGCTCCAGGCCACTCACCCGGCACCTTCTCAACGACTGCGGTGCCTGCCAGCCTTCTCCGCAGTGCCACACATTCAGTCTGCAGTTAAAAAAACTACAGGCAGGGGGCGCCTGGGTGGCTCAGTGGGTTGAGCGTCCAACATCTGCTCAGGTCATGATCTCATGGTTTGTGGGTTCGAGCCCCGCGTTGGGCTCTGTGCTGACAGCTCAGAGCCTGGAGCCTGTTTCGGATTCTATGTCTCCCTCTCTCTCTGACCCTTCCCTGCTCACGCTGTCTCTCTCTCTCAGAAATAAATAAAATATTAAAAAAAAAAAAACTACAGGCAGACATACAGGTGATCCAAGTGGGTCTTTGGCTGTTGCAAAAATCACTTTTTATGCTCCTGGGCCAGGGTTTTTTTTAACGTTTTATTTATTTTTGAGAGAGAGATAGAGACAGCATGAACAGGGGAGGGTCAGAGAGAGAGGGAGACACAAAATCTGAAGCAGGCTCCAGGCTCTGAGCTGTCAGCACAGAGCCCAACGCGGGGCTCGAACCCACGAACCGCGAGATCATGACCTGAGCTGAAGTCGGATGTTCAACCGACTGAGCCACCCAGGCGCCTCTAGTTGTTGGGTTTTTTGTTTGTTTGTTTGTTTGTTTGTTTTTAGCTTTGCAGTAAAATCAGGCAACTTTTTTTCCCCCTTGTTTATCTCAATGAGGATGTAAGAAGGCATTCCAAGTAATTCCCATACATTTACTTGCCCTCGACACTAATGATACTAAGCCTGTGTTTGCAGGTCGTTGTGAGCATTTCCAAGTGTTCTCCCGTCTCCTCTCTCAGCCCCGGGTTAACTGTGATGTGAAGTGGTCACTCAGCTAACTACTTGGAAGAAGCAAGATCTTGAACCTAAGTCTCCTAATTCCTTCCTTCAAATTTATCCACAGTAAAACTTCTGGTCCTGAGCCTGAATTACATGAACATTTAAAATAAACAAAAAGCTCTTTTTAGAGATTCTTTCCAACAATAGGACATATACTATAAACAGGTCATGTACAAACAATTATTAATTGTTAAACTTCTCAAAGTAAGAGAGTCTTGCCCTTTGCATGGAAGATGTATTTAGAACTAGAAATACATTCTTTCTAGGAAGAAAGAAGTGGAATAAGGAAGTGATCCTGCTTACTCACTTGTGGGATCAAATAAACCCAAGAGAAACCTAATTGCAATGAGACAAATCTCACTATAATGTTAAAAAATGCTGTTGTAATGTGTGGTGGAATGATGAGAGGCACGTGAATTTTATTTTCTCAGACTCAGGTGGTGGGGGGGTTGGGGGCAGAGTCACCTGTCGGTGGTGTGGAGCCAACAGCATGTAGAATAGACAAAATAGGAGGGGAGGGTTCACTTGAGGCTAGAACCCAGGATCATCCTTTTTTTGGGAAACAAATAGGAATTCATGGCTCTGCTCTTTCTGTCGCTGACAGAGCCGTGCAGCAGAGGTGACGGAGAAGTAAGGATTCGTCACCCTTTTGGTGAACAGCACTTACCCAGACTACCTGTGTAATTAGTTAAGGTCATGGTTAAGAAATAGTTCTAGTTCTTTTTTTTTTTTTTCTGAGAGAGAGAGACAGCATAACAGAGAGAGAGGGACAGTCAGAGAAAGAGGAAGACACAGAATCTGAAACAGGTTCCAGGCTCTGAGCTGTCAGCACAGATCCCGACGCAGGGCTGGAACCCACGAACCGTGAGATCATGAGCTGAGCCAAAGTTGGAGGCTTAACCGACTGAGCCACCCAGGTGCCCCAAAATAGTTCTAGTTCTGAAGTGATTTCTTAGGCAGTATAGTCTGTCCTTTCTTTGGTTTCGCTTCCTGATGTTAGGATCTTTTTTCTAAAAAAAAAAAAATAACACAAATGTGTTATATCACAAATGAAGCCACCCCACCACAAAGGCATAAATAACTCTCCTACAGCAGCTGTTTTAACTTCACACAACTCCACCTGACTTTTCATGCTCTCTTGCTCCGGCTCCCAGTGAGTTTCAAAGTAATTTCTATATAAGGCTTAGAATTCCTTACAAGTCCTTTTTTGAAACTTGAGGCGGTTACCTACCAGAGTCCGTAGTTCCTGAAAGTGAGAAAGTAAAACTCAGTGTCCAGTTTTTTTATTATGAAAAATGTCAAATGGGTCAACAAGGGCTCTGCCGCTTCTGGAACCCTGTGTGTGTGCTAAGGCAGCTCTCACACTCCTCTCTGTGTCGTGGTTTTATTAGCTTCATTTCTGCAATTAGACTGTGTCCCCTCCAGGGCTGAGACTGTTCTTGGATGGGGCACAGAATGTGGCATCTCATGGGTGCCTCTTTCCTTCTCCTTCCTGCTCAGATTCCTGCGGTGGCTCCCACACTGCTGGGTGACCCAGGGTGGTCATTTCTGGATGAGGCACTTAGCTGGCCTCAATGCTTGGCAGTGGTGACTGAAGACGGCCCGCGGGCCCCCGTCTGTCCCCACCATCACACATCCCTCACTGGGGAGCTTCTCCCAGCAGGAGTGAGCCTCACCGCTCTTCTTCAAGGTGCTACGTGGCTCTTCTTGCATATGGCGGCTGGGAGGCCTCCAGAAGCAATCTGGCCACATAGACAGTGCCCGCCGGAGCTACAGCACGGCTGCCCGAATATCTGTGTGGAAGTCCCCTCACAGACACCTTCTCCTTATTCTCTCCAGATGAAACTTCACTTTCTTTTTTAATATCTTTAAGCAACCAGAGCAGGTACCTGTCGTTGCATAATCACGGGCCACTTTCTGTACCGTGACAGAACCAAAGATTTTCCGTCTGCTAACAGAAATGACAGACATCCACTTAGTGGAATGATTTTAGTATAAAATTACTTTTTGGCTTTTAAATTTAGTCCACATTCATAGCAATAAAATAAAATCCCAAATCCAGGTGTGCTTTTGAGGAAAGTGTCCAGGGCAATTACCTTCTGATAATGGCGTCCTGTGCTCAAGCTTTTTGTCTGGGGAATCTTAAAATCTTTTCCACACAAGTAGATAATGATGTTCCTTTTATCGGGGGTGAGAGGTGAAGTGGCTGATGTCTGGGCATCCTCAAGAGATAAAGAAAACTCCAAGACCCAGGTGTCTCCTTTGTTTTCCCCCTTCCCGCCCTTCGTGGTTCTTTAAGTGAAGCATGGCCGCCCTTCTATTGATTTAAATACCTCCCTCTCATGTACTGCTTTCCACTTTCCGCTTTTTTAAGAGCATGAATGAGAGGAGTTTCTGTGTCATATTTCATGTGGGAAAGAGTGGAGTTTCACAGAGGGGGAATGGCTTATATACACCTATCAGAGTATATGCATCTCCTGGTAAATTTCGCTCTTCTGTGTTACACAGTAGAGCTTACATGTGGGTTCCATGAGTTCACGAGCGAAAAGTGGTTGGAACAGTGCTCGGCACAGGGCAGGCCATCTGTGAGCCGGGACCGTCAGAGCAGAACCCAGGGTCTCTGGATGAGCCGCATCTGGAGTGCGCCCTCTCTCATGCTACTGGTTGGAATGCGCTTCCCTTCCCCCCACCCAGCCAGGCTTACCCAGATCCTTGGGATCCGGTTTACGTCCTATCTCCTTCCTCCAGGAAACCTTCCCGGTCCAACCAGCCATCAGTTGGCAATCTCTCTTCATAACTGCGGTGTTCTCTCATTTCAGTTCAGCCACCTTGAGCTGAGCACGGGCATGTTGTCAGGTAGGCCTCATTGGGCACTAACTCACACCCTCTCCTGTGATATTGTGTAACTGTCGTATGAATGTTTGTCTTGCGTCTGGTGGGATTATTGGGCCTTGGGGGAAACGCTCAGACCTATACATCCCCCAGCCCCAGGAATGGTCCTGGACATGCAGCAGTTCAGCAGACGCTAAGGGTAGAGGATGTGCGTGGGGGGCCAGGGGGTGCAGAAGTGGCTGAGCTGTACACATTTTATTGATAGAATTGTTGAATCACACTGAAGTGGTACGAGGTCTGGAACAGAGTCCTGAGGTTCCATTCTTGCGTCCGCCACGCACCCTCTCCTGTTCTGCAGGAGAGAGGTCACTGTGTATGGAGGTCACTCGGTCAACAGAAGTCACGGCAGACACAGCTCTGTCATCGGGCAAGGTGATAAACTCTCAGGTCCTGCAGGTGAGATGGGCCGTGAGGAAACCTACGACTGGGATTCTAGGGCTTTGCAGGGAAAAGAGGGCACGTAGCAGCTCTGGGGGGCCGTGAACATTCGCTGACTCCGTTTGTACCTAGCGGCCATCTTCTGCTCCAAGGCTGTTCCAGGTGCAGGAGTGTCCTGAGAGGTGACCCTAAGACATGCACCTGGTCTCTCCACCCCTCCCCTGCTGGGAATGCACACGGTCAACCTTGTGTCTCTTCCACAGTGTTTATTAGACATCCAGCCCCGTCATCCCGAGGGCCAGACCCCCTCCTCCTGCCCCCACAGCTGACTTTCTCGGTGGCTGCAGCGTGTCCAGCCAAGGTCGGCCACCCTCTCCTGGTCTCCCGATGGAACTGACTGCAAAGGTGAGAGCCACTCACGCTGTTTGCCCTTCGCTTTCTTCCAGGATCTTCTTCCCAGGAAGCCACCCGGTCCGAGGCGTGCAGGTCATGAAGGTCGGCAAGCTGCAGCTGCACCAGGGCATGTTCCCGCAGGCCATGAAGAACCTGAGGCTGGTGAGTGTGAGCGGGGTGGGGGGAGGGCCTGGTGAGCGCGCGCAGAGGGAGACCTGGTGGCACGCAGCGCGGGGCCGCTCCCTGTGCCCCCTTGTGACCTGGCACATGTGTCACCACACACACACACGCACTTACATGCACATGCCCGTACATGTTTCACAGCCAGCTCCAAAATCACACGGTTTGTGATGTTTGCCCATTTCTGTCATATAAACGTGCCCACCGCGGCTGATTTCAGATCCCCCAGGGAAAATTGGCCAGCTCCCCAAAATCGGCACCAGTTTACAGTCAGCTCTTGTCAACCGGCCTTCAGAGCACCCTGAACCTGGGCCCTGGTCCATGTGAGCCCGCCACCCTTGTGCTGACCTCCCCACCCAGTCCCCACAGAATCCTGACCATAGTCCTCTGTTACATCGGCCTCCCCCCCGCTCCCCGCAGTCCAGCTTTGCAGCCTCTACCGCCTAGAGCCCCCCCCCGCCCCCCCCGGCCTCTCCACGTGGCCAGCGTACACTGGGCCACCCACTGTCACCCAGGACACCTTGACCTGGTCACACTTAGGTCTTTACCAAGACCCGACCACCCCTTGGGTGGCCCAGCTGCAGGGTAGTTTTCTCCCTGTGCTCCTCCGGGTGTGCGACCCTGCCGCAGAGCGCTCACCCCGCGGCGACACCTCTGACAGCCACGGGCGGGGTCCAATCCACCGCAGCAAAGCCAGTATCGCAGTCAGGAGAGTCCAGTGGACTGTTCGGTTTCCCAGTGCAGGTGAATGTTATGTTTAGACGATACCGTAGTCTCGGAGGGGTGCACCAGCATTATGGATATGGATATATATATATATCTATATATATCTTAATTTAAAAATACTTTCTTGCTAAAAAATGCTAACCATCTGAGTTTCCGCGAGTCTGAGCTTTCCGCTGCTGGAGGGTCCGGCCTCCCTGCTGGCGGCTGCTGACTGGTCAGGGTGCTGGGGCTGCCGGCTGGCGGCCGTGGCACTTTCTGAAAATAAGACAAGTCGGCCTCAGCGATGGACTCTTCCCCTCACGAGCGATTTCTCTGGAACACGCGGTGCAGCCTGACCGCATGGGACCCGTGGTAGAACTTCCTTCAGGGCTGAGTCCGTCCTCAGACCCCGCCGCCGCCGCCTCAGCCCGGCCGGTGTCCCGTTCTGCGTCCTCCGCGGTCACTTCCGCCGCCGCCGCCGCAGCCCGGCCGGTGTCCCGTTCTGAGTCCTCCGCGGTCACTTCCGCCGCCGCCGCCTCAGCCCGGCCGGTGTCCCGTTCTGAGTCCTCCGCGGTCACTTCCGCCACCTTCACGGCGTCTTCACCAGGAGGACGTTCCTCCTCCAGGAACCGTGTGCTCCTCCGTTCAGTGTGATGATGAGATCTCAGCCCCTCCGTCCCATCTTCGGATCCCACTCTTGGTCCCCGTTCCGTGCTGTTTCCACCACATCTGCGGGGACTTCCTCCCCTGACGTCCCGAAGGCTTCTCGAAGGCTGTAATCCACTTCTCCCAAACCCCAGTGAATGTTGGTATTTTGACCTCTTCCCACAAATCACAAATGTTCCTAATGCATCTAGAATAGGTGAAATAGAAAGGTGAATCCTTTCCAGAAGGTGTTTTACTTTGCCCAGATCCATGAGAGGATCACTATCTGTGGCAGCTCTAGCCTAATAAGGTGTATTTCTTCAATAATAAGATTTCAGAGTTAAAATTACCTCATCTGTGGGCTACAGAATAGATGTTAACAAACATGAAAACAGCACTAATCTCATTATCCATCTCCATCAGAGCTCTTGGGTGCCCAGGTACAAGGTCAACGAGCAGTTATGTTTTGAAAGGAATCTTTTTTTTTCTAAGTAGTAGGTCAGAACTTAAAGTCACTAGTTTAGTTAGTGCCTAACGAGAGAGTCAGCCTGTCCTTTGAGGCTTTGAAGCCAGCACTGACTTCTCTAGCTATGAAAGTTCTAGATAGCATCTTTTGCCAGTCTAAGGTTGTTTTGTCTGTATTGAAAATCTGATGTTGAGCGTCACCACCTTCATTAATTCTCTTAGCGGGACCTTCCAGAAAACTCGCTGCGGCTTCTCCGTCAGCACCTGCTTCCTCACCTTGTACTTGTACAGAGACGACTTCTCTCCTTAAGCCCTGTGACCCAGCCTCCACCAGCTTCACACTCCCCTTCTGCAGCCTCCTCGCCTCTCTGAGCCTTCACACACTGGAAGGAGCCAGGGCCTTGCTCTGGGTCGGGCTCCAGCTTAAGGGGATGTCGTGGCTGTTGGGTCTTCTGTCCAGGCCCCGGACTCTCTTCCCATCAGCTGTAAGGCTGTTTCACCTTCTTGTCATTCGCATGTTCACTGGTGTAGCAGTTGTCATTTCCTTCAAGAACTTTCCCTTTGCATGCACAGTGTGTCTGACTGCTTGGTGCAAGAAGCCCTCGGCTTTCAGCCTCTCAGCTTTGACATGCTTTCCTCTCTCAGCTTAACCATTTCTTTCTAGCTTTTGATTTAAAGTGAGAGGCGTGTGACTCTTCCCTCCATCTGAACACACGGAGGCCACTGTAGGGTTATTAATTGGCCTAATTCCCCATCTCAGGGAACAGGGAGGCCAGGGGTAGGGGACGCCAGTTGGTGGAGCAGTCAGAGCACACATGATATGTATTATTTATATAATAGTACATTTATTATGTGTCTTATGTGGGTATGGTTTGTGGGGCCCCAAACCAATTATAATGGTAACTGTTAATATCTCTGCTCACAGATCATATAACAGATGCAATAGTGATGAAAAAGTTGAAATATTGTGAGAATTAGAAAATGTGACCCAGAGACACGAAGTGAGCAAGTGTTATTGGAAAAGTGGCAGCCACAGACTTGCTTCACAGCGTGGCCGCAGACCTTCAGTTACACGCACACACACACACACACACACACACACACACAGTACCTGGGAAACGCAATAAAGCAGGAAAACGAGGTATCCCCGATGTCCCCAGGAGACCAAGGACTTTGCCTACCTCTGTAACCAGTCGGGGCCATACCAGGTACCTGGAACTTAGGAGGAGTCCTTGTTGGAGGAAGGAGGGGTGGTGGGAGAGAGGTCAGGGAAGTGCCGAGAAACCAAACGGGAGAGCCGGCCTATGTAGGAAGATAGAAAGATCAATGTTTATTCACCCCCTCCATGGGCCCCCGGTGCCAGCGGCTCACTGCTGCCTTGGCCCTTCCCCCTGACCCCCAGCAGAGAGTGCCTGTCCCCCGAACCTCGGCCTCCCCCCCATGCAGCGCTGATGTGCTCTCCTGGCCCAGGCGCTGGCGGGTCTCAGGGAGGCCTGCCTCATGCGGAGTTACGGGTGCGCTTGAACCAGGGCCTGTGCTTGGTCCATGGAAGAGCGACAGCGGAGAGGCCCAGGCCCTCCCTCGGGGTCTCTCAGGGAGCTGCCCAGGGGCTGGCCTGTGACATGGCCGGCTGCCCACATTTAGAGGAGAAAAGTAACAAACTGCTTACGGGATTCTTAAAAATGAAATTTTTTTTTCATTTATCCCTAGTGCTGGTTTTTTTGGATTATTTCTTTATTTGCTTATTTAATTACTAGCTATGTTTGCTTTCCTGATCTTTCACTGAAATACGACATGGTGGACAGGAAGAGCACTGGGATTCCTGAAGGCACAGGGCACTTCCTGTCCTCCTTACCTTGTCTGACACCTTTACTCAGACCGACGGAGGAACACCTGGCCGTCTCTTACAGTCTCAGAGAAGACTGTCCTTTCTGGACTGGCTGATAGATGGCAGCTGGTCAGATCCCTTAGGCAGAAAACTACATATCAACGGTCTACTGTGTGAAAGTTTTGACAGCAAAATAATGTGGAGGAAATTTCTCATGTATGTGATGGACCCAAGCCAGGGTCCCCTGCAGGTCGTTTTATAAGTGATCAAACTAATCCTGTATATCTCTGTGGACTCGAAAGTATCAATACTGCTCATCTGTACCTGGTCTTGCCAGGTTCTCATGACAGATGAGGTCAGCGGCACAGATATTTTCATTCCCATTTGAAAACTGAGGGGCGGCTGGGTGGCTCAGTCAGTTGAGCGTCTGACTTCAGCTCAGGTCATGATCTCGCCGTTCGGTTCATGAGTTCAAGCCCCACACTGGGCTCCTGCTGTCAGCGCAGAGCCCGCTTCCGATCCTCTATCCCCCTGCTTCTTGCCCTCAGGCATTCGGGAGCCTGGCTGGAGTCACACTGAGGTGGAACCGGGTCTAGTTTCTTTAGCTAGAATGTCCATGAAATTCTTGTATTAACCTGAATAAGACCCAGGGCTGTCCTTCCAATTTACGGGAGGAGGCAAACGTGTAAACAAGTCACTAAATCCAGGCCGAATCCAAGGGTCGTCTTTTCCTCCAAGCAGCCAGTGAGACAGATGAGCTTCCTCCGAAGGACCCCGTGTGCAGAAACCCCTTGCGGTCCTGACGCCAGCTCGGCGGCGACGCACATCTCTTCATTCATCGCAGCGCTGCCTCTGTGCACAAGTCCACAGGGAGGCCTCTCGCAGCCTCAGCTGCAGAGGCGGGACCCCAGGCAGACATTTACATGTGGATTCACGGGGTCACGTGGGCTGCGCCAACACTGTGGCCGTCGCCGGCAGCCTGGCGACACTCCCTGCCCTACTCCGTCCCACTGGCCCTGTTCCATGCTGCCTTCCTCACATCCTGCTTGCAGCACCCCTCACCTCCAGAAACTTCCTCTGTTAACTGTCTTGGTGTCTCCTCCTCCTGAGACCAAAGGTAAACCCCAGCCCGGACCTTGAGAGCTCCAGGTCGGCCCTGAGGCCTGGGGTTAAATCACGGCCGGACCCCAACCTCCTGTTCGGCTCTGGAAGTCACTGAGTCCCTTACCAGGTTTTGATTATCAACCAGAATGCAGATGTGGCCGGGCAGTGTCACCCGGTAGAGCGCTCAGCTCAAGTGAGGAGGTTCACGTGACAGTCCCGTGCCTTGAAGCGAGTC